CAGATTTCACTTTGAATTGACCATGACACTGACCATGTGTGAGGTCATTCTCAGTAAATCAGAGGGAAACATTGGCAAGTTCAGGTCAGTCCTCCCAGGTAAGTCAAGCCACACACTTAACCACGGATTTGTGGCACAGCAACCACTTGAACTCTTGTAGCACTGTGCTAAGTGGCGATGAGAACATCCCACTGTCACCAAGGGCCATGTGTGGCTGGCACCCAGAGTCCACTCCTGCCCAGGAAGTGGCCTTGCTCACACCAAATAGAATCTGAGCTTCATCTAAGCTTTTCCTCTCCTCGGAGCAGGATGTGGGTGGCTAATACTTGACATTAGTCCTCCTTGTCGGTCGGAACTTCCTCTCTTAATGACTGAATTTATTTTTTTCCGCACATCCTGCTAGCTCATTACTCATTTCAATTATGAGTCAGATTTCATCTGGAGTTTAATTACTTCCCTGGTTAAAAATGATAAATTAATTTGCTTATTAACTCTTTAGCACCTTCTAAGTTCACTGAATAAGGTGCCATTTGTTATTTTATTTTTGGTGGTGGAAGGCGGCTGTTTTACATGGGTCACGGCAAAGCGGTAGAGAACGTGGCATTGTGGGATGAGACCGTAGGAGTCAGCGGGCATCCTTCCCTCCTGCGCAGGCTGCCATCACTGCGAACCACGGGCTGGTGTCGATTCAAACGCGCTTTGTCCCAACTCACAGAATTATTGCCGTGCTATAGCTTCTGGTCATTCTGCAGAGTATCGTCTATTTCTTCAAGAAAAGAAACGCGTTCTGTACGTGGAACGTTTACGGGTAAACACGGGGCTTCGTGTTCTCCTATATTTGGTCTCTAGACAGCAGCACTTATCTGGTTACTTCGGTTAAGCTTACGTCTCACTTTCCTATTGCTATTTCCATCCTTTAATCTGTGTCCGTTCCTACTGTCAACATTCTCACTGGTATTATTGAGGATGGAAATATGAAGGCTGCATCTTAAAAAAAGTAATAGACTTAGCTTTTTAGAGCAGTTTTCGTTTTACAGAAGAGCGAACGGCAAGTACAGAGAGCTCATGCTGGCCTCCTGTCGTCAACGTCTTGCATTAGGGAGGTGGATTGTTTGAATGGATGAACCAGTATTGATGCATTATTATTAAAAATCCGTGACACGTGTCCATCATTACAGCATCACACTAGGGCATTTCCACTGCCTTAAAGATCCCTGTGTCCTGTCCATCCCTCCCTGCCCCAACCACTGGCAACCACCGATCTTTTGCTGTCTCCATAGCCCTGACATTTTCCCCAGAATGCCATGTAATTGTCATCGCACGGTAGGGTAGCCTCTTCAGACTGGATTCTTTCATTTGACCTAATGCTCTTGAGCTTCCTCCATGTGTTTTCATAGTTTGATCACTGATATCTTTTTAGCAGTAAATAATATCCTGTTGTTTGGATGCATTGCCAATTGTTTATCCGTTCATTTATAATCGTTCTTGCTTTCAAGTTTAGGTGATTATGAATTAGGCTGCTATAAGCATTCATTGGAGGTTTTTTATGAACATAAGTTTTTAACTCTTTTAGAGAAATAAAAAGAAGCATAGTTGCTGTATTATACATGAGAGTATGTTTAGTTTTATTTAAAAAAAAAAAAAACCTGGCAAAAGATGTTCCACAGTGCCTGTACCATTTGTATTTCCACCAGCAATGAGTGAGAGTTCCTGTTGCCCCTTTCTTCACAAACACTTGGTGGTATTAGTGTTTCTCTTTGGCTTTTCACAATTCTGACAGGCGTGCACTGGTATCTCATTGTTTCCACTTCTAATTCCCTAATAATGTATGACATTGAGCACCTTTTCATATTTTCATTTTTCACTTGTATAGATTCTTTGCTTAAAAATCTGTTCAAATATTTTGCTCACTTTAAAATTAGGTTGCTTTTCTATTGTTGGTTTTAATAATTCTTTGTATAATTTGGATACCAGCCCTTTACCGAGTATGTATTTTCTAAGCATTTTCTCCTAGCACATGGCTTATTGTTGACTCTCTAAAGAAAGTCTTTTGCAGAGCAAAAATTCAATTTTTAGCAAAGTCCAACGTACTGATCAGTTTTTTCGTGCATGAATCATGCTCTTTTTTTTCTTTTTTTTTTCCTTTTATTTCATCATGTTGTGGGGGTACAAATATTGTTAGGGTTACATATATCGCCCCTGCCTCTCCTCCCTCCCACGTGCCCACGTGTGTCCAATCCTCAGATGGTGGACATCGCACCCATTATGTAAGTACACACCCTTCCCCTCCTCCCCCCCTCCTGCCTGCCCACCACCTGATAAAAGTATTTTTTTTGACATTTTGGTTACATTGTATATCTTTGCCTCTCCCTAAGAAGGGTTAGAGGTATGCCCTTCCTCCCCCCCCACAAGCTCACCACTTCCCTAAGATGTTGGTCTCCCCCACCCCGAATCTCTGGTGAGCATTGCCACCATTTGAGCACCATAGTTTTAATCAGTCAGTACCAATTTGATGGCGAGTAGATGTGGAGCCCATTTTCCATATCTTGTGTCGTCTCGCTTTGTATTACGGGCTTAAGCTTAATCCAGGATAGCATAAACAGTGCCAGCTCACTGTTGTTTCTTAGAATTGAGTAATATTCCATTGTGAGCATATACCACATTTTAATTATCCACTCATGAATTGATGGGCGCTTGGGTTGTTTCCATGACCGTGCAATAGCGAATTGTGCTGCGATAAACATTCGGGTGCAGATGTCTTTATGATAGAATGTCTTATGCTCTTTTGGGTAGATGCCCAACAATGCTATTGCAGGGTCGAATGGTATTTCTATTTCTAGCTGTTTGAGGTATCTCCAAATTCTTTTCCACAAAGGTCGCACTAATTTGCAGTCCCACCAGCAGTGTAGGAGTGCTCCTGTCTCTCCACATCCTCACCAGCATTTGTTGTTTTGGGATTTCTTGATGCAGGCCATTCTCACTGGGGTTAGGTGGTATCTCATTGTGGCTTTGATTTGCATTTCTCTGATGATTAGAGATGTTGAGAATTTTTTTTTTTAATATGTTTTCAGGCCATTATTCTGTCTTCTTTGGAGAAGTTTCTGTTCATTTCCATTGCCCATTTCTTGATGGGATTGTTTTATTTTTTCTTGTTAATTCTTTTAAGTTATACATTTTGAGGTAATTTTATAAAAGATATAAGATTTGAATCCTATGCATATTTTTGAGAAAAACTATGAAACTTTAATGAAAGAAATCAAAGAAAAAACAATAAATGAGGAGATATTCTGTGTTCGTGGAGAGGAACACTCAATATTGTCAAGAAGTTTGTTCTTCCCGACTTGATCTGTACATTCAATGCAAACCCAGTCAAAATCCAAAGTTATGGGTTTTTGTTTGTTTCTTGGTGATAATGTAAATTATGTTGCATTTTCAAATTCAAATTCTATAGGTTCTTTGCTGGAATATAAGACAGTGTTTGACTTTTGAATATTAGCCTTGTATCTTGCAACTCCATATATCATCAGTAAAAAAAAATTAGATGTAAAATGCAAATATAAACATGAAAGATAAATTATTATAGTTTTCAAAGATGATAAAAGAGAACATCTTCATCACCTCAGTGTTGAATAAGTATTTAAAACAGATCACAAAAAGCCCTAACCATAAAAAAATAATCAATTATGACTATATTAAAATTAAAATGTTTTGTGCATAAAAAGACAAGCCAAAGAACGGGAGACAAAATTTTACAACATGCATGACCAACAAGATGCTGATTGCTGTCTTGCCACATACCTGTTTTCTATCATATTCTTTTCCTGTTTTCCTTGATGACAAGAGCAAAATACTGGTCCCAGGGCACCTTGCCACTGGCTTCCAGATAGGGTCATGCATTGGATGGAACCAGTGAGTTTAAGTTGGGAGAACTGAAGAACAGGGTGTGTCTTCTCTTTCTTCTCTTTAGAAGAATAAATAATATTTGTGCAGCTCATGAGTTACGGTGAGGACATGGGGCAGAGGGAATAGTCGTCCTCTGCAGTCATGAGTATAAACTGATGTTAGTACATTGAAGAGCTGTTGTCATTCTCTGCTAAATGAAAAGATAAGTGTAGCTTACAAACCATCAATTCCACTGCCTTTCTACATCAAACTCTAATTGTGCTTATGAGTACCAAATGACACATTCAGGCACGGGTATAGCAGAATTATTTGTAGCAACCCAAAATTAGAAATCATGCAAATGTCCACCTACGGTTGGTTGAACACTTTGGTATGTTTATACAGTGAATTACAAAATTACGATGGAAATGAACAAACTGAAGCTACTTGCAACTGCAAGGATACATTTTAAAAATATAATGTTCCAGAAAAGAAACCAAATACGAAAGTGTGATACTCTTTGATTTCATTTATGTAAAGTTCAAAAACATACAAGAGGAATATTTTGCTTAGGAGGACCCAAGAAGAAAACACCAATGATTGAGAACATAGTTAATTCAAAAAGAATCTCTTACAATTTTTTTTTGAGATTACACAATATGTGATAAAGAGCCTTATAAAATGTGCAAAAACTGAATACATCAAAGAGGTTCAAGATATTTATATTGTGGCAACCACCTGGATTCTGGCAATATCTTATAAGAAAGATAAAATGGTCCACCTAACTCATGTGTTTATTTATTTTTTTCCTTTTCCTTCCTCCAGTATATTAATATTTATTTGATATCCTCTAGGTTGGAATGGTTGAGAAGTGTTCAACCTGAATAAATCTCTTTCCAGAAAAACTTTCCACATACTTTGTTTGGCTAAAGCTGGGTAAGGTGATTACTAAGGCATTTTTCTTCATATCCATAATATTATGCCCAGATAGTAAATGTCAATATATTTATTATTTACTTCTGTCCCTGGCTCTGTGCCAAGTGCTTACAGTTGTGGGATGAAACGGATAAAATATTTATCTCGAATAACTTCACGACGCTAACAAATTGGAAACTTACCTGGTGCAGACAGCACGCCGTTCCCAGCCGGAAACCGTTTGGGCACGGTGTCTCAGAGCCCAGGCGAGTAACATCTCCATGCTTCGAAGGTACTGATTGAGTTTTTATGAAACGGGAAAGCTTGGTAGTGACACCTTCCATCATTGTAGGATGTCTTGATATGAGCCTCAGATCCTTTTATGCCAAAATAAGGATTTTATCCACCCATTTTGTAGATCTCTTCCTTTTGTATTCTTATCTGGGGCCCCACACACAGTCTAGAAATGCATGACGAGAGCAATTAGTGATTTCTGGGCTGATATGTTGATGTAGTCATGGGGAATATTTGGACATGTTTATATTATTGGATTCTCTTCCCAGAATACGATTTCTTTGCATTTTACGGACACATCTTGAAGTCCCAGGGTCCACGGACACTTTGTAATTCTTAGCTATTGAACTCAGGTAAAGCGGGGGCGAAGCCCCAAAGGTGCGGTTAAGGCACCTATGACATCTGCGTTGAAGGGACACTTTCTCCCTCCATCCACATCCCGGGATCCCAGAAAACCTCCCTCCGCGAGGAACTGAAGGGACTCTCCGAGGAGCGCGGGGACGGGCGCCTGGCTGTTTATCATCTCCCCACCAGTGTGACACCTCGGCTGATTACTTGCATTATGGCTAATTTGCAGCTTATAATCAGTCCTGGCTTCTTAATAAACATCTCATTAAGTGACGGGCGCTGCCATCCGCCTCCAGCTCCCACCTCCCCGTGTCCTCTGCGGAGGGGGACGCGCCGCCGGACGTCACAGGTGTCATTCGCAATCATGTTCTGAGGCCTCGAAGGGGGCGCGTGGAGGAAATGCCCTTCACAACGCATTACTGCGGATGGAAGGTGTGATTAGCCACCACGGCGGTGCCTGGCCCCCACGGTTCAGACTTGACTTCGGACACACGACCCTGCCATGCCAAGGAGGAATGTGTGAAGCGGTCGAAATGTCTCTGAGTAATGGTGGTGACGACGGTGGCAATGATAGCTATTGACACACAGCATTAACCCACCAAGTTGACCAAAGGATCAACAGACGTGCACAGACAGCCAGGAAATGCTGTGCGGACCGACCTCGGATAAAGGCAGAAAATGTACTGGATGGACCATTTCTAGAATCTGCAGGAAGAACAAGCATACTGGGGGAACCAAGGCCTCCATACTGGATGGAACACGGGAGTTTAGAAGGCTCTTCCTCTCTCAGTTACCGTCCGCATGCACAGGAGGAAATGAACTAAGATTAAATTTATCAAAACACAGTGAGCAATGACTTGACATCTTCAAAACTACCTGTTCCAGAAAAACATGCATTGAACTGCAAAATGAGGTTTTTTGTTAGCATGTGATTTTGCAATAAAGTGTGATACCACCACCAATCCACGTAATAACTTCTAAGATGGACTTCCTGTAAATGAAGATAAATGTGCTAACAAAAATAAGCATGTTACGTTTAATTCCTTTTTCCATAACTACAAAAGGTCAGTTGGACATTTAGGCAGTTTCCAGTCTGGAGCTATTTCATATGGTGATGCCATGGACGTTCTGACACCTCTTTGGTAAACATACATACACGTTTCCTTGGGTGATTGTCTAAGACCGGCTTGGCTGGGTTAGCGAGTACGTAAGTTAAGCTTTATTAGACACTGCCAGACACACTTCCAAACTGCTTGCTCAAAATTACTCTTCCCTCAGCAACCCAGAGGGCCCTGTTTGTTCCATATCCTTGCTAATTCTCTGTCTCTTCTGACTTTGCACCAGAGCTTTTCCAGTGCATATGCAGTGGTATCTTAGGTTTATAATTTTCATTGCCCCAAAGATTGATGAAATTGAGCACTCTATTATATATTTATAGGCCATTTTAATATCCTTTTTATGAACTGCATATTCAGGTAATTATCACTTTTTTTTCCACTCTCTTCCCTTCATATTTGCTGTGTAGGAGGCATTTGTAGAATTACATAACCTTCGACACTGACTAAACTAAACAAATACTTGGGCACTTATCTTAGTTTTTCATTACTGGGTGCCCACAGCCTGGCCATCTCAGGGACCTTGCCGTCCTGGCTAAGAACATGAGACTCATTAGTAGGGCACATAACTTTAAAACTGAGATATTTCTATTCTCTAAGGCAAAAGTGTCATATCAGTATTCATCCTAAACTACTAAGAAAATAATCAATATTGAGGGTATATAAATACAAACCACTTTCTTTAAATCATTGCTGAATGTAATAATTTTAAATTTTTAAAATTTCACATGTTTTACATGAGTATTTTGTTATTACTAATCTGTATTTTCAAAATTCTAAATATATTATTTGAAATTCAAGCTTTCAATGTAGTTATTATATCTCACTGATTTTTTTTTTATACATAAAGACATCTTTCAAAATGTTTAATTAGAATTGATTTGGAGTTTACCAATGCCTTATGATTTGACAATAGACACTAAGATTAAATAATATTTTCTCTTAAAATTGCTACCTTTCTTTAAAAAATATATCTTTTTTCTGATGCCAATACTTGAGAACAATTGCTGGAACATGGTTTGTTAATATATATAATACACACATATATCTCTAACTTCTTTAATAATTGTTGCTTTTTGGCATGCATTAGTATTCTTTCAAAACAAACAAAAAAAACCCCACATGAATTTTTATGATGTCTCATTGTGTTTTATATAAAACAAAAACATGATTATTTCTAGGTTAACAATAGGAGGAATTAGGGAGATGATATCTACTGAGCATCTAACATTTTTTAGGTCACTTAATTCTCCCCATAATGTTCACCATAACCTGGTAAGTTACCCTCTGTCATTGTTTATATAGGAGAAGGGATGGGTGGAGAAGTAGCTGCTTCTCAGAGGCAATAACCCTTTGTGTGCCGGGGTAACAATGTTTCTGAGATAGGTTTAATCATTGTTTGGAGTTATATTGTATCTATAGATCAATTTCAGTATCACTTAACATAAATTCATTTTTGAGTCTTTGTATCCATTCACAATGACCTACTTCTCCAATGAGTATTTGTAACAACTTTTAATAAAGGTGAATATACTTATCTATAAATATGTTGTGCATATTTTTAAGTTTCTTTATATTTTTGTTGCTTTTGTAAGTGGCAAATTTTAAAGTATTTTAATTTTTGTTCTCTGACATTACATAGAAATGCTGTTGATTCAGAATATTGATCTATAAAAGCATGATCCTAAAATCTAATTAATTCTGGTAATGTATCTATAAAATCTTAGGGGTTTACTATATTGTCAATAAAATTATATCTTCCTTTCCAATCTTTATTTATTTTGTTTATTTTTCACATTAACTTAATTAGATAAACCCCTAGAACTATGATGAATAAAATGAATGATAATAGCCCTCTTATCATAGCATGATATTTTTTTCATGTCACAGATAAGAGTAGGGACAAATTTCCATTGATTGATAATTCTTCTAGTGAGTTTCCATTCTTCTGTCCCCAGATTCACAAAAATTATTTAAATTATTGAACAGCCTTTTTGGACAAAGTGTAAGAGTGATTGATTTCCTTAAATTCTCTTGGAGATGATGACATTTAATGGACACCCAAGCATCACATTATTTCATTCTTTATCCTATTATCTATAGGTAGCATTTACTTGCAGTGAGAGATAGCTTATTTTCACAAAACTGTGGGGCTTTAGTGGTGGATGACATCTTAAGACAGACAGGTGGAGACAGACCCAAAATCCTCCTCACAATTCGCCAGGGCAGAATGGCTTTAACCTTTCACCAGTGTCTTCTCTGCTAACATATGTTGTCTCAAGAAGTGTAATACAAGAAAGTTTTGAAGTTTCACAAACCATTATCTAAAAGGCCCCATAAGTTTTGGTATTCAGAACTGTGGGAATTTTAGAAAGACAGTAATACGCACAGACCATATGTAAGACAACACCCCCAGCAAAGAGTAGCATCAACCCCACAATCAAATACACAGGATGCTGGCAGTGAAAAACGTTCATACTAAGATTTTCTTTTAGAGACTATCAATAGCCTCGTGTCGGTTCGGGTTATGTTTGGTCCCTGGAAACGCTTGGTCTCCAACGTATGGAAAATGAAAAGTTTTTGTTTTTAAAAATATGTGGACTTTGTGATTGCAGATAAGTCATCATTAATACAGATGAGATTGCAAATTACAGACCAGAACATGGAAGTCTGGGAACGGTCCGCCTCGCTATCTAAGCACCCGCCCGGGAGCTTCCCAGTGGAAAGGGTCTGCTCTTTGGGTGACGCCCAGCCTCCTAGGATAGCAAAAGGCTCCCAGGAGCTGCAGCCAACGTAACGCAGACGTAGACCGACAGGGGTCCCAGCAGCCTCCGGGGAAGAGCCACTTGGGTGTCCCACGAGCTCTTCACACCCAAACCTCTCTGAGAAAACTGCTCCTATCCTCCTCCTTCTCTGGAGCTCCTGTTTTTTCAAGCGCGCTCGGTTACCCAAGTCTAAAGCCCTCCTCTCACCCACCCCCACATCTCGGCAGACGACAATCTCATCTGTCATATTCCCGAGTTTCATCAGATCCCTCCGACGACGTCCCAGTTTTCCAGCCTTGTCGTTCCCGAGTTTGTCCCCTTACCCCCTTCCTCTGAGACAGCACGGCCTCGGGTGTCTTAAAATGTTCTAAACTAAATTTTAATTTTGTTTCCAGCAACCTGTCCACCTCTTATAGAAACAAAAGCCAATACAGTTAATACAGCACAGGGGCCCTGCAGACCCCGTCCCCAGCCACCGCCTCCGTCACCCCCTCTGTCTGTGCCCCCACTCACGTCACTCCAGCGTCGTCACGGATCTCCTTCTTCCTGTGCACATCCAGGCTTGGTCTTTTTGCTTTCTGAACAGCACCTTGTCTTTATTCATGGGAACTCCTTTCTCTGTTACAGCGGCCTTACTCTTCTTCCCTTAGTTGTTAGTAAATTCCTCCAGCTCCATCTCCGGTGTTGCCTCTTCCAGAAAGCCTTTAAGTCCCTAAGTGGGGATAAGTACATGTTAGTATATTCCCTCAGAACTAGTGCTGTGTCTTCCTGATGCATATTAAAGTACAGTGATATTAATTTTTTTCTTAGCTGTCCATATCCACCACTTGACTGACAGATCCATATAAATATATATGTATGTATCTATGCATATATATATATAGTTTTCAAGACAGAGTCTTACTCTGTTGCCCAGGCAAGAGTGCAGTGGATTCCTCATAGCATCACAGCTCACTGCAACCTAAACTCCTGGGTTCAAGCCATCCTCCCGCCTTGGCCTCCCAGGGTGCCAGGATTACAGATGTGAGCCGCTGCACCCAGCCTTATTTATCTTTTTATTCCTAGTGTCTAGAAGGGCATGGGCAAATGTTTTATTCATTTTTTTTTTTTTGTAGAGCTTCATAGCTACTAAAGGGTTTCATGTTCTACTTCCAGAAGTACAGAGGTTAACTTTGCATCTTTCTCTATTATATGGTCAGGGTTTACTTTTCAGATTAAAGCATTTTGAACTCTGCCTACCCCTGAAGATGCTTCGTGGTAGCACATGATGTAACATGCATTTCCAGGGCTGTAAAGTGCCCCTGATATGGTTCTTGCTGCCTGTGTCGTGCACAGAGCCCAGGCTGAGAAGCACAGGCCACGAGCTTCATTTCACGGCTGGGGAAACTGAGGCTCAGAGAGACTTTTAAACACTGAGTTAAACAAAATGCAATTCAAACACATTTGGCTGTCTGAGATCGAGGTGTCGGCAGGGCGGGTTCCTCTTGAGGCCTCTCCCCTTAGCGTGTAGATACGTCTTCTCCCCGTGTCCTCCTGTGGTTGTCCTTGTGTGCGGCTGTGTCCTCGTCTCCTCTTCCTGTGAGGGCCCCAGTCAGGTCGGATCAGGGCCCGTGCAGGTGACAGTATTTTACCGTAGCTACACATGGCACCGTCTGAGACCAGGGGTCAGGGCTTCAGGGTGCAGCTGCAATCCAGCTACAATGGTGCCGGGTCCCGCAAGATCCTGGTCACTAAATCTTTGGGCCTCAGAGAAAAACCACTTGCAGTGCACCCCCAGAACGCATGCTGCCCCCCTTCCGACGGAGATCATTCCTAGCCTTGGAATCTCAGTCCTTTCACCCTTTTCTAGACTAGTTACTTCTTTCTTTCTTTCTTTCTTTCTTTCTTTCTTTCTTTCTTTCTTTCTTTCTTTCTTTCTTTCTTTCTTTCTTTCTTTCTTTCTTTCTTTCTTTCTTTTTTTTTGTTTCAAAATACTATAGTTACTTCTTGCTCAGACATAAAGCCCTGTCTCTGTGGCTTCTCCTTGGCCCTGGGGGAAGAGAGCGTGTGGAGGGCTGAGTTCCGTGTGCTGGGGCGTGGCAGGCTCTCAGCCCCCCCAGGTGGCAGCAGCCTTGGGAGGGAGGGGCAGAGCCACAGGAGGAGGCCTGGCCAGCGAGCTGAGAACAGAAAGCTAAATTACATGGGAGCGCCTCCAAGACTTTGTGTTTACTCAACTTGTGAGTGTGTGTGTGTGTGTGCGTGTGCATGTGTTTGTGTGTGTGGTTCAAAGCCCACGATGTTTGCTACATGGTAACTAACAGAGCCACAGTTCCCCTTCGCTGCAATTAAGACCACTTGAAATTATATACTGAACTCAAGATTTCTAGGGGCTTGAGCTAAAAGAGCTACTGTCATGGGTTGAATTGTGTCCCTCAGAAAAGATCTGTTGGAGTCCTACCCCCCTAGGACTTCAGAATGTGACCTCATTTGGAGACAGGGGCTTTGCGGAGACAGTGAAGTTACGATGAGATCATGACATGGCCCTAAGCCAGCATGAACGACCTCCTTACCAGAGGAAATGTGGACACAGAGACGGAGACAGAGGAAGACGCTGTGTGAAGATGGGTCATCAGAATGGTGTGTCTGCTCCCATGGGGCGCTCCGGGATGGCCTGTCACGCCCTGCAGCTCTAGCCTTGGAACCTGATCCCGCCTTGCCCAGTTGGCCCTCCCAGACCCTAACGCTGACATTCAGATCCTTGTTCAACTACTGTCCGTGCCAGAATGATGCAGGATTTTTCATAAAGTTACGAAAATCAGAAAACTCTCTTTGAGGATAAAAATGAGTACCCAAAACTTGATATCCAATCACCTCAAATATCCAGGCAAACCGAAAAGCTCCTTTGCCCCCCCAGATGAGAAAGATGGAACCTTGCCCTTTCTGTCTCACTGTTTTAATGCGGTGGCTGACACAAAACAGGAAGCCGCCTGTGATTTCTTGGACAAGTGAAGATAAATTCACTGATGACTTAATGAAAGGAGTAAGGGATAATCAAACTGCAAGAAATCATAAGCCTGAAGTTGCTGAAGGTGCTTCGGAAGGCACAGCCAAGGCGAGGACCCGCCTGGGGTTGTGGGCATCCTTAACACAGCGGAACTAGCGAGTTCACAGGACGTCTGCCCATGCACGCGACTCCACCATACCCAGAAAACATCTTTTAACAAACTGCCAGAAATAATGTGAACCTGTAATAATTTTCTACCATCTTTAAAAGCAAACGTGAAACGCTAGAATCTTAATGCAGAAGGCATGATTTGTATGCGATGATAAACTCCCAAAGAAAGAAAAGAGAAAAAATAAATAAATAAACGAATCATTTCCAGGAGCCAATTGTTTTTTGTACGGAAGGAGAATTGGAAATATCCCATTGTCTGGAAATGTTTTACAAGTATATTTTTATGGTTTAAATTTTTGTTATACAGTGTCATCAAGATTCTGTCACATTTCGGTATTATTGATTTGAAACAAAAGTGGATTTTGATATCATTTATTCTGGGCTACACACTGTGTAATTATTCAAATGCTTCATTTTCATTTGGGCTTTCCTATTTGTTTTAAATGTTATTACTCGCTTCAGTGCGTTTTCATTTTAGTGAACACACTGATAAATATTTCTATCAATTGCAGATGTGATTTTTGCATAAGTAACTAAAATGCTAGCACCGTGGTTTGATACAATACCAGACACCACGGGATCCCACAGCGGCAATTAGAAAGTTTGTCTGCATTTGTGTAATCGTGAAGGCCTTATGGAATGGTTTAAAGTGTGCTTATAATTAGTAATTTTAATGCTTCATGTCTTCCCCAAAAGCCTTAGGCATAGAGCCAGGGCCGATCCTAGGTGAATGGTAAAGCAGACTAAATTCGCTTTTCATTTTCCTCATCCTTTCATCCCTGCTCTGCAAGCTCAGTGACCTTGTCCCCAACCCAAGACGGGGTCGAGGTCTCTGGAGTCGAGTCAGTCTTGTAGACACACCTCATTCTTCATACCAGCCCTGCCACCCCCTCTTCTGTCAGGACGCCCAAGTTTTCCTTTCTATTGCTGTGTTGGTATTCGCCTGTTTTGTTTGTTTCTGTCATGGGCTGACAGCATCCTGCTTAGCCCCAGGCAGAGGGCACTCGACCCAAACCAGGTTGCCTGGTCTGCGGGCACACCCCAGTACACCAGCGCCGGGGTCCACGCCCAAGTGCATTGCTTAACTGCTCCATCATCTTTTTACCTTCACTACCGATACGGCTAGTTCACTGGCACGGCTGTTCCTTCCTTGTATTTTCACTAGTGGGGAGGAAGAGGGGAGTGCTCCTCCCCATGTTGGGTGAAACTTAATGTATCTCAGCAAGAGAGGAAGAGTGTTTGGCTGGAGTCCTCTAACAGGGCCAGAGCAAGCCGGGCAAAAGTCTGCAGGGTCCCGAGCACAAGGGCTGCTCACCGGGGAGGGGCATCCACCCGCCAGACACCGGATGGCCACCGAGGTTGGGATATGCTCTCGGCCCCTGTCGAGCACCCTCTGTGTGCTTGCCGAAACGCTCCTCTGCCACTCTCACGCAAGACAGCAAAAAAGGAAGAAAATTAGCTCCTCCTATTTGACCCTTATTTATAGGTTAGGGAATTTATAAACCAAAAAGGGAAGATTAAAATATACATCTACATTTAAATTAACTTCGATATGAGTGCAAATAACGAAATAGCAGGCTGGCATTCATTAATTTTCACTTTCAAAGTGTCAATAATTGCCACATTTACATAATGACTGCTGGCTGGATACAGTTACTGTGACGAAAAGGTCAGGAGAGTTGATCACGCTCAGGTACGTCCGAGACCGAGATCTGACGAGAGTGAAACCCCCTAAGCGCAGCTTCCTGCTGGCTTCCGGTGAATTCCATACGCTCTGCTATCCCAAGCTCTTCTTCCCAAGAAAAAACATGACAGGGGACGTTATCCTTTTCATCTTACAGCTGAGGAAACTGGAGCTCAAAGATGTTAATTGTCTCACCTAAGGTCTCACAGTGCGTGGCGGAAACCGGATTCGAACTTGACTTAGACACCAGAATATCTAGCCTTGGAGCTAAAAGGGCTGAATATTTTAACCCCGAGGAACATTTTGAAAACGATATGCATCCATTTCTCTTAAAGACAAAAAACATTGCATGGCATTTGGCGTAAATACAGAAAAGTTCACAGATAAAGACATAAACTGAATTATTACACAGGGGAAACCCCGTGCGGGGCAATAAACAGCACATCAGACGCCCCCAATGCCCCTGCCCGTCATTGCCCCAATGATTCACAAGTTTAGCTAGAGGTTAATTTTGCCTGATTTTAAAATTATACTACGTGTATGTTTTGTTTCTTAGCTCTTTTACTCAGCACCAAGTATATTCATATTTCCTCCATGTTCGTACACCAAGTGTGTGTTTTTTCCATTTGTTTTATTTCTGTGTACTAGTCCATTTTCACATGCATCCCAATGTGCACATCCACCATGAGGGGAGGAGTGAGAGGGGCTTCGTGTTGTTGCCGGGAAGGGTCGTGTTGCTACGAACTCTCTTGAGCACAGGTAAACGTATAAATGTCCGCCACGATTTACACAGAGCTGGCAAGAGAGCACCTGCCTCTTCTGTAGAAGATGCTAAACTGTTTCAAAGTGACTTGCGTGTGTGTTCCCAGGCATG